ATATATAGATCAAAGTCTGCAAAGTTCCAGCTCTGTATTACGGCCCGAAGAATAATAATTTTCGGGCGAACTGCACCGGGCCATATTTGTTCTTTGTTTTTTCTTTTTCTAAATCCGGACGCAGAAATAATGCTAAATCTGCTTTTCAATACACTGTTAACAATAACACCACAAAATACGCAAAAAAGAAGAAGAAGAAGAAAAGAAAGAACAACGTATGGACCTTTAAGACGATATTCGCGGTGGGTCACCCATCCCGTTCGTTACCCCGACCGACAGGGCTTAACTTGAGCGCCTGAGCATAAGTTAAATTTTTCTGGGCGAAACAGCATTTTGGGGGGAATTTTCTGTTTAGAATATCCGAGTAGACCGGGGGGGGCCTGGAGTAGACGCAACGAGAAACAGGGACCGCGCAGAGGGAGGGGCTGGGGGGGCTTTAGCCCCCCCACTTTTTTGCAAGAATAAAAATAAATTTAACAAAAAATAATTTAACAAAAGTAACAGAGTGAAAAATAGCAAAAAATCGTTAATTCGAAAGTGACCAGAGTTACTGGCAAAGACAAACGCGCAGATAAATAGGCAGAATGAAGCATTAGTCGTTACAATTGTAAAATATTTTTTCGCTTCTAACCTAGCAGAGGTAAACGTCTTTTAAATGGCCTCTTTTTCCTGGAGAAACTGTACAACGATGATGTTAATATTTCAGTGTTAACCGCCCAGATGGAAATTTTACAAGTGCTGCTGAAGGATGGTGATTATTTTTGTTTTGACGACATCATAGTAAAAATTAAAGAGCTACTCAACCCAGAACGGGAAATGATAAAAGAAGTTATCACGTTATGTAAGCTGATTGTCGTAAATCCAGCAACCAGTGCAGCCGGTGAAAGATCCTTTTCGACTGCCCGGAGGCTAAAAACATGGCTCCGTTCAAGAATGAACCAGGAACAATTTAGTAACCTGACAGTTTTAAACATACACAAAGAAAGAACGGACAGGCTTTCCACCATTGACATAGCAAACGAATTTACCGACCGCAACACAAACAGAAAGCGTAATTTTGGCACTTTTCGAGTAAATGATGTACAGTAACTTTAATATCAATCACTAAATTATTTTCAGTTACCGTTTTGTTTTGCCGTGTAAATATTTTGAATGAATAATTAAACAATTATTGAACTCGGCTTTCGTATGATACGAAGATATACAGATCTCAGAGGGTGTTATCCACCGGGCTCAAGCCTTCAGCTTTGGCGGATAACCCTCTTGATCTGATACTCAGCCTCGTGCAATAATTGCTCAGTAATTATACAGCCTTGAGTTCAAGGCAGCTCAAGCAAAATCGTTGGATTTCTGGCTTATTTATAGTAATTAAAGGTTGATATCAGTAGTATAACATAACAATCTATGATATTTCAATTTAGTGATGGTGAATTTTCAGACCCAATAGCAAGATCACTGAAGATGTGGAAAAAAATCAATAGCTTTATCGTTATTCGCATTCTCCGTCACTTTAGAGAAATTGAATAGAAATCCACAAGCATGCCCCCCCCCCCCCGCCAAAAAAAATTTTCCTTCACGCATTCTTCTTTAGCCCCCCCACTCGAAAACTTGCTGCGCGGTCCCTGAGAAAGTAAATTGTCATTTCGTAAACTACAGACTGTCATTTTGCAAACTACAGATTTTCATTTCGCAAACTACAGATTCTGTAGTTTACGAAATGAAAATCTGCAGTTGTAGGAAAAATGGCGGACTACTCGTAGTCTATTCTCGTTGCGTCTACTCGGATATTCTAAACAGAAAATTCCCCCAAAAAAGCTGTTTCGCCCAGAAAAATTTATCTTAAGCTCAGGCGCTCAAGTTAAGCCCTGTCGGTCGGGGTTACGAACGGGATGGGTGACCCACCGCGAA